GCGCGGTGCGGAGCCCCCGGCCCCCTCCCGGCCCCCAGGCCCAGGGCAACGGGAGGAACCACTGCCAGCTGCTATTTCTGAGCTATTTCGGCAATTTAGGGTTGTCACTGCTGCTGGAACGAAAGTTAAGTACTTTCATCCCAGAACCGTGTATGATCAGAAACAAGAGGAGACTTTTACAGTGATTTTACAGAAACTGTAATGCAGAAATTCCTGCAAAATGCAGAAATTGCTAGTGTTGTCTCATTTTCACTTCAGTTCTAAGGAAACCGCTGCAGCACCTACAGTGTCTGCCTTCAAAGCTGAAGAGTGTACCAAATGAAAGTTGGTATCATACAGACACAGAAGAAATGTATTTGTTCTTAACAGACAGCAACCACTATTGTTCAGATGGATTCCAGCCTCCCCCCTAAATTTTCTTTTTCAGTTGCTTATCCAAGCTAGTCGGGTGAGGAGGCACTAGGGAGAAGGGGACAGTAAACATATTCAACCATTTAAAAAAAAAAAAAAAAAAAAAAAGATTAAAGGGGGAAAAAAGCATTTCAGGTAAAGTCAATAAACTGAAAGAGAAATTAAAAGTTACAAACATCCCAAGCCCACTATCACCATACACAGCAAAAGCTGAATTTTTTATTATTTTTAAGTGCAGCTCATCTTTTAAGAAGCTGCTTAGAAACCTTATTTGAACAATTCAGCAGCGAAATACTTCAGATAGCTTTTGAAAATCATAAAGAAGAAATGCAAAAGCTCGGGTTAATATCATACAATTAAAAACTAAGCACACAGACATGGAAATGCAAGTCATTTCCCACAAAAAGTACTGCTCACGTTGCATACACTTTTGCATCCATTATTCTGCTCTCCCCATTAAATGCAAGTCTCATGACTTCGTTCTGCTACACACAGATCGATAAGCACGAGCAGTGTGGAGCTGCCTGGGCTAACACCGCCGCAGAGACCTCGCATTTCACCTGTCTCGTTCATCGATTGCTTCTACAACTTCAGCAAAGCCTTGCAGAAATTTCCGAGACCTTCACAGCTTGCGCTTGCTCTGAACAGCTTCGAGAACGCTCATCCAGTCAAATACTGGCACGGATTACACCTCTCAGATCACTCATTAACAGCCTGAATATTACTACATTTTTCTGGCAAAAAGTACAGCCTGATAGCACGTACTGTGAGATAAATGCAATACGTACTTGCCTACTTATGAAAGAGGCAGAAAACTTTCAAAAGTTTGTTAAAATGGCATTGTTAATTATTAAAATAGTAAGTTAAATAAGTTCATGGTGTAATTACAACTATTTTAAAATACCATGCAGCTTACAATTCTGAAAACCATTCTGCGGCACATGCTGAGCTACATTTCCTGAACCTCCTGCTCAGGAAGTCAGGACAGTATTTCTGTTCGTCGGGTAACTGTCCTTTCTGGGTATCAAAGTTTACGTGTTCGCTGTAACATACTCCTCTTCAAAAGAAACAGTTATGAGACATGCTTATTGCAGTGAATTTCTCTTTTTGTCTCTGATCTCACTCAGAAATTACAGCAAAGTCTTGCTAGCTTGCACAGTGACTGGGAAAATCCACTTAAATGGATGAATTCTAGAAAATGATTTGTAAAAACCCACAATTTAAAACAGAAATAAAACTTTGGGGAAAAAAATAAGTATTTTGTAAAAAAAAAAGCCTTTGGAAAACACACCAACCGTTATTTTATGGCGTATTACAGCATGCAAGTAAAATATTTGTTAGTGCTGTTGTGAGAAAGTCTCAAGAGACTTGACCACTACCACTACCCCATCTAACACAGGCAGCAACTCCAGGAGTGTAACGTTAGCAAACTGCAGTCAGCAAGGCTTTCCTACAGTCATCTTGACCAGAGCATGAACTCTCCTTTTAAAAGAATAAAAAAATTCCTATTTGCAGAAAGAGCTCACAAACAGGTGGAATGGCAGAAGCTCAAGGACACGATGCATGAAACTACTGAACACCGTATTTGCTTTTTAATGGTTCATCAATGGCTATGTTGACTGTGCGCATACTTTCACAAAGGACTATACACAACCTCAAATTCAGGTTTTCGAAATATAATTTCTAGGATCTGTTTTAACTGATTGTGAAAAGATGAGCTTTCCCAGCCCAACGGTCCAACAGCTCTTTTTCCAGCCCAGTATGAAGTAACTAGTGGGAGAAACTACTTGTCAGGTGGATGTTTGGAACCCTGAGAAGGTCACCGTCATACATACCCTCTGACTGCAGGTCTAAATACTCTGAGCAATACCCACAGCAAGAGAGAAAGGCAGCAAGAGAGGCAGAAATAGAAAGAAAGCAAAGAAAGGAAGAAAAAGAAAACAGTAAAGATTGCTGAAAAAACAGACAAAAGAGTTAACTTTGCATAACCGTATCCTCAAGCAGTGTTCCTGCCAGGAGAATATGCAGGAACATTTTAAAAGCTATTTCAAAGAGTACAATCACTGAACACGGCATTTTCCACATAAAATTCAGATCAATATACAAAAAAGCAGAAGATTCAATACACCACAGAAAGCATCTTTCTCAAGCCTAACACACACATTCTGAAGTTATCAAAGAGCAAGATTTGGCAATACTGGAAGCTCTTCAGTCAGAGAACTTCTGCAAAACTACTTATTTTTTCACAAGAAACTACCCTACAGAATTAGATGTGGGAAAGGAAGTTAGCTAAATACATTTAAAGTAGAGAAGTTACCTAAATACATCTGAAACACCTTTGTGTATGATTTTTAAACTACTAATATGGCTACTTTAAACAGAACTGCCATGAGAGACATTCTACTAAGCCACACAAGGACAAATAATTAACTTTCCAGAGTTTAAATTTTGGGGCAGTATGGGCAGGCAGAGAAGCATCAGCAGCTAAGATGATAATCACAGAGGGTATTAGAGGCATGCAACATCTGGATAGAGGCATGTAACATCTGGATCTTTCATGACCCTAGCGATGGTAGAATCTACAGAGTCCTTGTGTAGCTCCAAGTATTAAAGATCTCCACTGTAGATTTCAGTATTGCAGGGAGGGAAAAAAGGAGAGGGAAAACCCATTGCTACAGAAACAGGGATGCGGAGTGGTAAAAGTTTAGCACTTCTGGGGAAGTGCTTATAGAAAGTCATCAAGAACCACATATTCAATCTGAAAAATTCTTAAACTCTTAGTATAGTTCATTTGCTTGGAATCATTAAGAAACATGGTAAGAAATGAATATATTCACTACTGGCCATTTGAGTTTAACTGCATCTATTCCAACAGAAGGCAGATTGGTTTGGGAGAGCTGAGGATACCAGGAAGTTTCCATTATCATCACTGGTCGATATGGCAATTCATACACTGGGAGAAACCTGGCTACTAAACAGATCTGGAGCAGCTGAAATCACCATCTATGTAACAGGTTTCTGTCTTCCCACAGCTTCTATTTTGATTTTTGGCTATGGTTATAGTTGTGGAAAGCTACAGACACCTTTAAAGAGGAGACTGTGGTTATTCCAGTATTTACTTTCTTTGCCAAAATGGAATTAGTTTTGTAGAACTGCAGTCATGCAAAACCAAGCAGGTTCTGGAAGCCTTGCCCTTACTGGAAGTGCTCGAGATATATACACTTATTTAGAGAGAAAAACACATTCAAAATTACACCGCCTGAAACAGCAGCATAGCCCACAACATCTAACCAGCCAAATTAGAAAAAGAATAAATTCCCTACCTGCTAGGAAATAAATGGAAGACATAAGAACATGCCAAATAAGATTTACACTGCTGCTGTGAATCAAGACAGTCACATGTGTAACACCACTCACAAACACCATGCATTCAGAGAGGAAAAACATCTGGAGCAGAGAGTTTGTTTTAGATACACATGCCAATGGATTTAATTAGATGTAATTCAAGTGCAATGAAAACTGGAAAAGGAGATGCTGCTTTTAGCACAGCAGGCAGTATGATTATTTTCCTCATCTTCCACTTCTCGTGAAGCCAGTCTGCTTGGCCATGCCATCCCTATGCATACAAACTAACTCAATTTATCAAAACAGCTCTTCAGATGCAATCACTGCAAGCAAAGAAATCTCAGGCATCTCACTCATTTCAAGTATGAAGAGTAAAGGCCATTTGAGGTGGATGTCAAAAATAAAAACCAGTCACATTATTAAAAACTCAATTCAGAGTTGGCTAACCAAACATACCTTTGGTTAACTTCCTCCCATAATTTTCCCTAGTTCTGTAATCCCACTTGTTTTCTGAGCCACTGCTTTTTAACTCCTAGAGGCTATCTGCTGGAGTGTGTACACATGCCAAGCAGCTCACCTTGACTATCCAAAAAAGTCACGTAATCACAACATTATAAAAAGTAAATACCTGTTCCTGAGTCAGATGCATAAAATACAGGGACTCTAATTTGTTAAATCATACCCTACATACTTGTAAGGAATATGAGGAAAAAACCCAAACATCTTAAAATTGGGTAATACTTCTGGATGCACCAAAGTGAACTAGATGCTTCCTGTTTTGAAAAGCAACCTCCCCTCTCAAATGATCAGAACAGGCTAGATTCGAGCACATGCAATTCCAACCAAATTGCTGCCCAAAAGCTAAAAAATCTCAGGATCTGCTTTATCTTTTTCTGGTATTTTTCATTTTTTATCGTTTATTGTCTATAATGTACTACCTTAACAATGAGGGGAAAATGATAGCCTGAGACATTTAAATCTTTCCCCTGCAAGACCGCACACTGATTCCATGTCAGACCTTGCGCTTGCCATCATGCGAGGCTTTGCTCGACTCTTCTGGGCGATCTGACCTGGCATCCCTGCCATGAGCCCAGGCCCGGATTGCTTGTCCAGCCAGCCAGCCAGACGGGTGATGCTTCTGTGACTGATGGCTCAGTAGCTAAAATGAGCCACACGTGCTTCTTAAAATAAACACATTATAAACATTTTCTTAAAAAAAAAAACCCTGTGACAAGAAAACTGTAAGACATCCTCACGCAGGACATTTGGAACCATGATGTCTAAAAGAGAAAGTAATGCATTAACCCCTACCCACGCAAGGCTAAAGCCAGGGCATAGCAGGACCCCAGCCCAAGGAGATTCCTTTCGCACCTGGTGAAAACAGCCTTCTCGTTTTTAGCATCCATAGTCAGCTTGATGGTTTCCTGGCCCGACCCTGTGCTGATGGTTTCTGTGACGATATCAGCTTTATCCTCCTCCTCGTCACTGTCGGAGCCTCCAGAGGAGCTGCTGTCTGAGGCCACCAGCGGCGCTTTCCTCGTGACACAGACGTTCCAAACACAGGGAGAGGCAGTGCTGACTGAGAAAAGTAAGTAATTCACATTGCAAAATGAACAAAACCACAGGAACAACTCTCCAGGTACCACCCTGAGCAAGTGGGGTAGTGTAAAATGGAGTGTTTAGAACTATTGCAAATTTTGAGATGATAGTTTCTGTGCAGATCCCACAGCACGCAATACTATTTTTGCAAGCGAGGGGAAAAAACCCAACCTCACAAATCAGTGTTCTCCACCTGCCACCTCATGTCTGTGTTTAATACAAACAGCAGAGGAGACTATTTTCTTCACTTGTTGAACAGTGGTAACTCTGAACGGAGGATTAAGGCAGTGCCTGAGGTCCCTGCTGACTGTGACCGAGCTCTGAGAACTTGCTGTGGTATAATTCAAGCAGCTGTATTTTTTGAGGTGTTCATTGGTTTTGAATCCACATGCAAGGAAAGCCTCTCACAAAAGCAGCAAAGAAGTGTTGCAGTCTCAGAAAGTGTTTTTCTTCCTGAAGTTGGTATCTGCTCACACAACTTGATGTAACGCACAGTGCCTGACTGAAGATCTCTACCTGGGTAGACTTAAACAATGTGCATCCATAAAGCAGTCATTCCATGCGGTCTGAGCTCTACTGAACGGATTCTCCAACTCCGCTGGGAGAGTATACCAGAAAATGCATGGGGCAGAAAAAGGTACCGAGCTATCCCTTCCAGCATCATCCACCTTTCAGTGGTTACTACAGACAAAAGTTTAATTTAGTTCCATCAAAGTCCTTTGTTAAAATTTTATTCTTCCTTGTGCAGAAAGGAGGAGGGAAAGAAATCAGACTGAAGCTAACCAACTGGCTCGGCACAAATACCAACAGTGTAACTTACTCTATCCTTTTAATTTTTGGCAAGTAATTTTATAATCAATCATACAGTTAAATTAGGACTTCTGAACAGTTTATAAATGAATTGTCTCTCTGACATCAACTCTCACTAACTTAAATTTCATCTTTTTTTGCTGAATAACATTATCCCAACAAACATTCAGGATTTCTGAGTTACTATTTTAATAGATTGATCTCTGTACAAAAGAGAGCCTTCAAGTAAGATAAGGCAGATGACGCTGGAGGGAAGTTCTCCCTAGTAGACTATGCGGAATTTCAAACAACTTAAATAATACATCTGTTTTGTTTTGTAACATTCTCACTTACAGTTCTTGTCCTGACTCTGCTTCGGGTTTCCATCTGAATCATTGCTTTCTGTGTCGACAGGAGAACTGCATCGTGGACCTGATTCTGAGCTAAAGTAGAGGGGGGGAAAAGCCTTGGTAATGAAGTACAGATATCTTGGTTGTGCTTCTAAATATTCCCAACAGAAGAAATCATTAGGGCATACTCTTTCTTCAAATAAATATTCTTAACTTCCAAAAAACTTTATTCATTCACTTATTTTATACTCTTAGTGTAGCAGCAGTGATGATATATAAAGTATTCCTGTATCATAAGACATGAATGCTAACACCAGTTAGAAGCACTGGAAGGCAAAGGGAAGTATGAAGCCCTGATTCAGAATAGTCAGACAATATTAAAAAATAAAAGGGGTAGCAAGGGGAAGGGAAAAGGAAGAAGAAAAGATTACAGTCAATGTACTCCATCAAACCATATTTCTAATATTCTTTCCTTCAAAAGTTATAAAGAAATTGAAAGAATGTGTGCCTCTCTTACCAACAGAAAGGCTGGAAGTCTGTAAACTTTGCCCATCCTTTCTCCTCTGGCGTGGTGTTCTCTGGGGCTGCTGAATCCCATACACTCGATCCAACATCCATGGCAACACAGGGTGCAGGGGGCTTCGAGTTCACGGGCTCGAACACAGCTGTCCATCCAGACCCTGGAGACACAGAACAACGGACTGGAATTCCTGTGAGTTTTCAGAATCTTCAGCCATCCCAAAAATATTCCAAAGTGATCCCAGAGACAAAAAAAGAAAGACCATCCAATGGCACTCCAAAATCTACAGGAAGCTGCCTGTCTCACATGTTATAGACAATCAGCTTGAAAATCCCTCTTTTGATAAATATTAATGTTATCCACAAGAGAGAAGCATCAATTAAGAAAATGACATTACGAACATCTTCATTCTTCGAGCCAGTGATTTTCAGCTGAACTCTAAGAACCTTAGTTTCCTGTCAAAAGCTAAGTCCTGTCAAAAGCACAGCTTTCAACCACTTCAATCACCATTTAATTTTGGCAATTACAGGTAAGGAATTGATACATGGATTAAAATTTCAGACCACAGAAGTGATCTTGAGCAAAACTAAGAACATAATTTGTTTTTTACAGTCCCAGCCTACTCCTTATTCATTAGAACACACTTCTACTCCAACAAATCACAAATTTTTAAAAAGCATTTTTCATCACTTTTTCTCAAGAAAGAGAAAGGATTGCAGAGGTCTGTTGTGCAAACTGATGTGCATGCAACACAACTGAGAGTAGGAGAGATCCACCAAGTCTACACTCATTCAAAAACTGAACCAAAATTTGAACCAAAGTCTCTAGAAGGGTAACTAAACTGACATACACTATCCACAGGTTGCCATTTGTGTTGTTTATACTGGTTCTTCCTAATAAGAATTGGAAATATCTGACACTACCAAATGGAGCCGATTACTGGAATAAATATGCATTATGCTTACAGTTACAGTACAAAGACATCACCGAAAAAAAGAAACATTTTTAAACTGAAAATGCTTGCACTAAACAAAGAACAAATGTTAACATTTTTGTCCCTTTATTTCAGTTGACTGAATTTGTTCTGCTGACAACACTGTCTCTCATGAACTTACACAGCATTATTTGTATTGTGATCTGGGAAAACCTCATCCCTCTACAGTCTTCCTCTAAGCATTGTAAGAATGGGTTTGCAACATGCAAACTAAAACTAGAAAGGCAATTAGGCAGAAAAGGCAGATACATGGAGCGTGGAGATACTTGGTAAGGCTCTGCATAAACTTTTATAATACAATGTAAGGAGTTAATGTCACAATCCTCCACTAATATTTTGCTCAATAGTACTTGTACTAAAAGAGCTAGTAGCATTATTGTACCTGTGTGGCTGTCTTAGTGTAACTGAAGCATCACGCTGCTACTCTGAAGAAGCTGGGCAGGGCTCAATCTCACTAATATTTCATAGGCAAAAAATGAAGACTGAAATGCACACTTCTCATCTGCACGGGTGGAATTATAGAATAGCCATAGAAACCTGGCAATTTGCAAACTGCTATTCTGCAGAGATGATTACAGATCTCATTTCAAATGGGATGATGCTGTTTTAAACACTTTACCTTCAGAGGAGTCAGAGTCTTTCTGCTCAGAAATATTATTCTTGTTGTTGTTTGCTGAGGAAGGAGGTGGCTGCTGTTCTGTTTCCTCCTCTTCTTCGGAGTCCACGCTACCATCATGATCTCCATTCTCAAGATCACTTTTTGACGAACTCTCTGAGGTCTGAGACGCTCCAAATCTAAATCGCCAAACTCAGAATTAGAAAAACCCTTACAGGAACCAATTGATCCCTCATCTGCTTCCCCCCTGCCCAGGGAGAAAGCACAAATTGTGACTTGGCCAAGTGATGCTGAACGCCTTTTACAGGGCTTATTTCCCAAAACGATACAAAGCTCAGACAGGCAACAGCAGGCACTCCTCTAGATACTTCCACTAAAGTCCCTAAGTGCTTTACTTGTCAAAATGCATCTGCAGAGTTTAATGGGAAATACATTGCAGTGACTGTTCAGGGATGGAGATTGATATGAACAGACAAAACAGTAGCAAAGAAGGGGAACACGAGTGTGCTATCAATTCTGTATGAACAAGACAATCAGTTTATTGATGCTAGGCAAATAAACACTAAGGTCTTGGCCATTTTTCCTGTCTCATTTGATCATATCTTCAGACTTAGAACTATAGAAGTAGCTTTATTTAACAACTGACTGTATCAAAGGGATGAAAAATTGTAAGTGATTTGCAATGCCAGAGATGCACCATGGGAGGTCACTCATTCTCATGCAAAACATTATTCTTCTTCTTTTCACATTTTGAAAAAGAATATTCTGTCTACTACACTCAGTCTTACAATTCTTTCAACCTCCTCCTCTCCAAATATGAGGAAAGGAGTACATTCTAAGTATTTCAAACTAAGGGTGGGGTTTTTTTAAATATCTTTGATAACAGACTCAGTAACTAGGTGTTTCCATCATTACTGCATTCCCTCAAATTGTTTTGTTTGTTTCACATTCAAGACAAACCACCACCTCTTCTTGCAGAAGTGTCACCTGTAAAGCACTCTGTTTTATGCCAGAAAAAGGCCTCACGGCACATAAATAACAAACAATTAAGCATGCACTTAACTAAAATGTACAGTTTCATAGCATTTAGGGGGGGGAAAAAAAATTGATCTTTTTTTTTCACCTTACCGTGTTCTTGATTTAACTTGGGTTGCATAGGTTATCTCCTTCTCTTCCCAGATATCTTCTTCCTCCTCATTGTCATCAAATTGTTGGATCCGTTCATTGCAGCAGGCTTCAAAGAGGGAAGCATTGGGCTAAAATAATATTAAAAAGAATTCCATTCACTCTTTGGAGACAGAAACAAGAACTTCAGTGATGAGGAAGTTCGTAGAACAGCATTTGTACACAACTAATAACCATGAAGGTGTTTGCATTTATTTCATTTTACATCCCAAGTTGTGCCACAAGCAATGTTCAGCTGTGGAAGAGTAATAATAGCACAGTATGCTCAGAAGCAGCAAGCCCGTGATAGATCAAGAAAGAAACACAACAGTATCTCAGCCTACACTGCTTCCAAAATAGCAGGAACTCCTGCACGCTGCTTCATAGCTGTTCTGTTACATGACACTCTCTGTATCCCTCATAAGTGGTAGGGATAAGTAGCCCACTGTAGAAAAGGGCTGGAAACAATTCCCTTAAGAATACATTTGCAAACTGACCAGCCTGGAAATTAAGAGAATAAAGCGATGCCATGTATGCAAACTGTCCTGCTTGGACTAACAATCCACAGTGCAATTTCTTTCAGTGACAGAACTGCAGGGAGCTTCCAAGCAAATATGGTAATACTTAACTCGTGCACACACACCCCTTCAAAACAATACAACCCTCCATTCTGGAAATGAGTTTTCAGACAACGGTAAAGTGAGGTATCCCTGTAAATATACAAATGATCTGCCTATTTGAGCGTTCTGGGATCTCTGATTAAGTGCTGTCTTCCAGATGGTGCACAGTCCAAACCAACAGCTGTATTAGAATTCCATCACACACAAAAACTGTCTACTCAGGAAAAAACCACAGCTCTTGGTGGCTGCAGACTTAGCTGGCAGATTCAAAAAGAAAACAAATTTTCTGTATCTATAGAGCACTGTCTAGAGCAGCCAGAAGAGAGGAAAAAAATACTCTTCATAGTACTGTTTAAGTGAAAAAGAAAGTATTTTAAGACTAAGGAAACCTAAGTCTTAGTATAGACTAAAATAAGCTTCGGTCAGGAGATGAGCTTGGAATCACCTCTTAAGCCATTGTCCAGCTTCCTCAATGAGTATTGATTTAGGTCAATAAAAAACAGAAAAGGCAAGACACAGCATGGTAGTATTTAGACCCACAAGAAACCCAATTCTCTCTGTTTGCATTTTTTCCTTGACGGCGTATGGAAAGATTATCAAAGTGAAAATAAGGACAATAGATTCACACTGCAGAAAGAGAGAGAGAAAGATTCCTCCAATGTAAAGAGTACTACTTCTGAAGATCCTCAACAACGCAATAAAATGTAGGGAGATTTTCCGAGGATACCTGTAATGCCCTGAGCTCCTCGACTGGACTCAGCTACGAGTCCAGTTACCAGTTTTCATTTACCAAAATAACACACCAAATCTCTTTTCTTTCAAAATGCCAACAGCTAATTCAAGCATGAACTAACTTGCCGGAATCTGTGCTATTAAATAAATATCCCAAAATACCCACTTACACTGTCATCATCAGCATCTATATTGAAGTTTATCTCTGCGATCCTGTCAAAGGGAGCACTGCAAAAAGAAGGGAAAGAAACTTCAGTGATGGCATGGAGTAACAAAGCACTTCTGCATCCCCAACACAAGACCAGAGGATAGCTAACCACAGAGACACTTTGTATGACCACTTAATGCCTCCTGTGTTTGTTCCCTGAATATTCACTTCTGCGTTACGTGCAATGGCTTCCTCTCCTGGAGATGAAAGATTATTTTTTTATTTTTGAATATTTAAAAAAATATGCAGGATTTTCATTCTTAGGTCTGATTCAATACCTGAGTGAACTTTTGTCATTACCTTGATATGGTATTTTGAGGCTTCATGGCAACCACAGCAATGTCTGGCTATTATTTTGCAACTCTCATGGTACCTATGCAGCATAAAGGCTATCTTAATTTTTTTCACCGGGTCTCTCCAGCTGAACCGAATCTTATAGAAAAAAAACAAACTCATTAATTAAAAAGAGAAGGAGCTGCACCCAGCCGCTCTGGGATTCCACTCCTGTGTTCACCCAAGAATTCCACTGGCTTCCTCAGCATGAGACAAGACCCAGACAGACTGAATCCTGCATGGTGGGCATATATCCAGAAATACCCAGACCGGATCGAACCTGTCTGTTTTAACATAATTATGGTAACTTCAGGGAATCTTAGCATTCCAGTGGCTCAACAATCCCGATGCATTACTAAGACATGAACGCTGTAAAAATCATTAAATAACCCAATTTCTGATTTGGACCTAAGAGTGTCTATTGTAAGAACAGCAGAGGGTGCTACAGGCCAAAAAACTCCAACCTACCAGCACAGTTCGGGTCAATGCAGTATTTTTTCACCGGATCTCTAAGTTTGGACAGTGTTATTTTCTTTTAAAGAAGATTGTTCAGTGAGTAAAAAATACTGTCATGCAAACCACCAGGACATTGAAACATGATTAATACTTCTTAAAATATTAAAATTCCTATCTGCAACAGTTTTCAACAGCTGCAAAACAGATGACAGGGAGCACCACTCTCAGAATGTTCAATGCCAGAACAATTTTATAGTATATTCCTCCTTTTGTAGAGGAGAAGGCTAGCACATCCCAGATTTTGTTCAGTTTCAGTTCATTTTAAAGTGGACATTAGCTACCTTCAGCAGCTCCTCACATAAGTTAACTCTTCCCCTCTACCTACACACACACAAGTTCAGTATTTGAGCTATCTGATAAGAAGTTATAAGTGTATTTTATTTTTAAAAAATGCGCAGAGCTAAGTAATCCATGTTCAATTAAACTCTCATTCTAGTCTGGAACTTTTTGGCCTTATTAAAGTTCTGGACATCTACAATGCTCAGAAAAAAAAAAGACAGGAAAGCTGGACTCCAAAATCTTTTTCCATGTTAGAATACAGCTTCCAACTATTTCGCAAACACCTTAATGGAGTTCCTATGACCCTAGGGATCTTATGACTCTCTACTTTGATTCATGCTTGAAAGCAACTCTGAAGCAGCCAAACTATTCCCACATTGTCATTTCATTTAAGATATTTCACGGAGCCCAATACTTGCTAAAAACATGGTCTGAGCAGAACCAGCAAAAGAATCCTCAATAAATCAGATCTGGAGCAGCCAAAGAGTGGGAGCAATGTGGCATGCCCAGAGCTTTCTGGGCTAAAAGCTTCCTGTTTCTGTCAGGATTCCAGGACACCAGGATCTTGCAGTTCTTTGCAGAGCAGACCCAACATTTGCTGCCCTACGAGTATCAGCCCTAGGATGGTATGTAGAGCAGGTACTGCCACATACTGTCCCTGTCACCTTGGATGACAGGTAATTCCTTTGATTGAGACGAACATTGCCACAAGATGAAAGTGAATGGGCAAAACTGACGAGCAAGAAACACACTGGGTATCCTCCTGCAGCACTTTTCTGTCAATAAATGTATACTAAATGGTTACAATTTCTGAACCATTATGGACAAGCGTGATAATTACAGTCCCAGTAATTTCCTTAGCTACAGTTTTTAAGGTGAGAAGATGAGCTGCGGTTTTAATTAGATTACAGTAGTTCTTCTATAAAAGCAGCACCACTTCTGGACACTGAATTCAGGAAGTTGCATAACATTAAATCCACCTATATCTGCCTTCTTTGAACTGTTATTTTCTCCTGCCTTATCTATGTTCCCTTATTCCTAGGAGAGAAAATGGCTAAATTTTTCTGTGGACTTCATTAGAACACTATTCTTTCTACTCCTAATTTCAATAAGGACTTAATGCCACTGGAGAATTTCCATATAATTGCCTAGAGTTAGCTCTAATGCTTTGCTTTCTGTGCAATTAAATTTATTCTAGAATATGGCTGGATAATAGTTGTGTGTTTTATTTAAAATGTTTCTCTTCAAAGTGAAGAAATACTTTTCCTTGGTTCTACAACTGTCTTTGGAGATCAGGGGTAGACTCCTATAAAAAGAAAAAAAGGTCGGCTGTTTTCCAAGCCATTGATCAGTCTTCTGCTTGTTTCAAACCAAAGGAGGTATACAGTGAGGTTCATTTTAAAGCCTGAACCAGAAGAAGATAGATTAGATGCAAAGAGGCTTAAATGCTAAATATAAGCCTCTTGAAGTTTTATAAACTTACTTGATATTATCATCCTGGTCTGCAAACTCCTCATCGTTAAAGCCAAACTGATCCACGAAGTTAGCTGTCATCTGCTGGATCTGGTACTCAGAGAAGGCCTGAGCAACAAAACCCAAAAAGAGCTATCATTAAGGTGTCCAAAGATATTCAATTAAGCTGGCTGAAAACACGTATTCTAAAAAGCATTAAAAACATAGAAAACTGACGAACTTTGCGAAATCATCTACTTCAACCCCCTTTCTCAAAGCTGGATCTCAAACAGACTGTTCTCAAACAGACTTCTGCAAGTCCTGGACAGATGCTTCTCTGATCTGCTCTTAACTTCTTCCAAAGAGAGTTACGAAATTTTCCTAGGGAACCATTTGTTGGCTTCATCATCCTATTAGAACACTGTATTGGGCGTTTTTTTAATTTGTTTGTTTTCCCCTGATGCAATACGAAATTTACCTTGCTGCAACTTAAACCCGCCACGGACATCAAGAAGATACTTTTCACTTCCTCTGAATCCCTCTTCCTTGTAGGATGAGGCATATGTCTCCACACAATCTTGTCTCCTCTTGACCAAGTGGACCAAATTATTTCAGCTTTTCTTCCTATGTCATGGTCTACAACTCTGATCATTCTCATTACTATCCTTCAGCTTACCTTTTGCTAATACAAATCACTTTTGAAGTTCACTGCCTCCAACTGGACATTCACCAAGGAGAATGGGAAAATAACTCCGTATGTCTTTGAGACAACACTCCCACCTATCATACGTTTGGTTTCCCACAGCAGCTTGGGTCTTCTATTTTTCAGCTTGCACCTCAGGATAATTGCCCAGATATGCTTTTGGTCACATTCTTGCCTACTCATCCGTGCCTCATTCTCTATTTATGAAAAGGATCGCTTCTGCCTCCAAATAGAATCTCATACTTGCTCTTATGCATTGCATTTTTTTTCTTCAGATCGTTTCTCCTATTTGGAGGATAATTCTGAATACTGGTAGGTAGCCCGCTCCAGCTATAGCTAAGTAATTCAAACATGCATCTCTGCAGCTGCACTTTGTCGTGACTCCACTGCAGGTGAGTACCCATGTTCCTGTCTAAGGAGTTCTCCTGGCTCCTCTCAATATTTCTATTGATACTTGTCACAATAAAAGACAAAACTTTTTTTTTTTTTTTTTTTTTTTTTAACAAAGGCAATGCATTTTCCCTTTTTTAATGCACTTTCTAAGTATCAGCTGAAGAAAAGAAAGGTATTTGTAATGCCAGAATAGCCAGCTAGAGTATTTGGACAAAAGAACAACTATAAACTATTTTCAGCTCATTTTTACCCTTTAACTAGATTTCAGATTGTCTTTTTACTCCCCACAGGTAGCTTCCTCCTAAACAGGTGTATGTTCTGCTAATGCTCTTTATGCTCTTAGCATCAAAAAAGGTTGGAAGAACTTGTCTAAATATTTCATCCTGAAAAGCAGCTTCCATATATTTGATGGAGCTTTAGCAGAGTACGTCAGATTTTGAGGATCCTGAGATCTTTGCTAAATGCAAGTGAACCCTTAATTACCTCCGTTTCTTCCTAAGTCAAGGCTTTTTACTGCTCTTACTGCCACTGTTTACCGCTCTTTACTGCTAACTTTTTAGTATGGTTCTTTCAGTTTTTAACAGAAGTCTGCATAGCCCAAGAGGAAGCAGAACCCCTCTATCAGCTCCAATTCTACTGCAGGTAGGTGATGCACACTACCTTGTTGGCTGGGAAGTACAGCAACTCACTGCAGCTGGTCTACAACATCAGGACCACCCAGCTCCCTAGTGTGGAGAGAACCAGGAGAAGAGAAAGAAATATGCAGTGCCTCACAGAAATGTGAGGGACATCATGTATCTGGGACTTGCGTGCAGACTGAGCCAAGCGTACTCCCAACTGGAGTCTAGACCATGTAAGCAACTATACTGGAAAAAAAACAGAAGAGCTGAACACAGTGACTAAGAGTAAAATTTAGGAAGCTGCTCTATACTAGGATGGATTAAGGGCAAATCAGAGAAGCAAGCTTCCCAGGAAAAGTGAAGAGTACATTGTCAACTCACCTGTTGGAGAGAAAGTTCATTGGGAAAAGCACTCTCAATGTCTTCATCCTCACTGGAAGAGTGCAGATGGTGAGTGCTCACCTGAAAAAAGGACAAAAAAATAAGCACAAGTGAAAGCTAAGAAAGCTCAAATACTTTCATTCCACACATACAATCAAAGACCAAATTCCTCAGAAGTAGAACTGTCCCAATGAGTAACACAGAAACATGGTCTAGAGTTTACCAACATGTATCAGAGCTGCTGCTGCTTGAAGAACTATTATGGAATATGTTTTCTACGAACACTCTGCCCTTGTAAGCCTACTTCATAAAAACAAGCAAAAGAAGAAAAAAACCCGGCAATATTACTTTTTTTTTTAGTTAAAGAAAGTCCAGAAGATAGTAAGCCTATCTGAAATATGCACAATATCACTGTTCTCACCAAATCCACTGTGTTCCTCCTGTTTGTTTCCGTCAGCGTCTCTTCTACAAAACTCTCCCATCTCCCTCTACAATCTTCAGGTAGCTCTGTAATAAAAAGGTCACCATAAAGATTACTGCAACTCAATGACGAGGGATCAAGCCAGTCATTTAGCCCTACTGGTTACCTGGAAGTTTTTGAGCAGACACATACACCTGCACATGAGTTATGTAAGTGCTCTGCAAAGTGAACTACATTTTACTCCTGATTTTCTAAAAATGGTAAATTCTGCAGAGGAAGGAACATCTTTCATTAGGCCAACCAGTAAGATATTATTGGTCTTAACAATGTTAACTCACTTGTGGAATTATGGTGGGCTAAAGATACAAAACTTCTACTACAACTTTCTGAAAACCAGCATACATGTGACTTAAGTTTTACTTTTTCTTCCTTTTCTTTCATGGTGATTATGGTGAGTTGACCCTAGCCAGCAACCAAGCACGCACCCACCCAGCTGCTTACTCCACCCCACAGCAGGATGGGGAGAGAAGTGGAAGACCAAAAGCGAGAAAAACTCATGGGTTGAGATAAAGAAAGTTTAATAAGTGGAGAAAAGACAAAAAAAAACCACACCAAGTGACGTAAAGGCACTCATTCACCCCCTCCCACCAGCAGACTGATGCTCAGCCAGTCTCTGAGCAGGAGCTACCTTGGAAAGACTGTCCCCCAGTTTCTACAGCTGAGTACGTGGCATGGGATAGCCCTTCAGTCAATCCAGGTAGCTGTCCGGCTGTGTCCCCTCCCAGCCTCTTGACCACCCCTGTCTGCCCCCCAGGGTGGGCACTGAGTGGGTAAAAGAGAAAGCCTTGGTGCTGTGCAAGCACTGCTCAGCAACAGCTAAAACAGTGGGGTGTTATCAACAGCGTTTTAGCCACAAATCAGAAACACAGCACCGCAGGGCTGCTATGAATAAAGTTATCTTCATCCCAGCCAGACCCCGTACAGTAAAAAACCCGAGAGAAATAACCACGACTTGTGAAACTTTCAGTCTTCACTAAAATATTTATGACTCCTCAATTTTCATGTAGATATGACAACACACCAAGTTACTACATTACCATTAGATATGTTCGTCAGATGCCAAAAATGGAAGCTCAAGTCATATTTGTGCTCACTGTTTCCCTTAACAGATGCAGATGGAAAATCTTATTTCCTCTCACACAAAAATGTCAAATAGAACTAGTTCTCAAAATAAAGTCCGAGGAAGACATGATGGACAAAGCCTGGAAATGTGAATATCTCCCACAAAGCAGAGACGTAGGGCCACTGTGACCATTTACTTCGGTGTCTCTCTTCCTCTCGGACAGGTATAAGAATAAGGAAGTAGAGAAACACCATTCATAAACAGCACCCCAGAAAGCTGTAAATAAGCACTATAAACGTACACATAAATCCGGATGAAAAGAAGAATTCTTTAGCACAAAAAGGATACCTTTGGCCTCCAGCTGCAAAAACAAAGTTCCAACAATTTCAATGTAATTGTATGAAAACAAAGAACAACCAAATTTGGTCTAGACTTAAGTTATGGGAAATTTGGATATTTAACTGGAAATTCTTTTCATTATAAAAGGGACCCTCACAAAATACATGCAATAAAAGGCCTGCAATGGTTATTTAATCAAGGGGGAGGGAAAAAAAAAAAGGAATGGAGAAAGGAGCATGTACCTTTAATGAACTCACTAATTTGAGTCTGCATGGGGCCCTTCTCCATATTCTGAACTACAGCATTGGCTATCCGGGTGAGGTGGCCCATATTGCCTCGCCTCATTCCACCTTCTGCCCTGAAAAGAGAAAACAGCCAGTAGCAATATAACCAGGCAGCAAGAATCACAGTCATAACCACTTTCATAACCTAGGCATGCTAAGAGTTCCCCGCTGTTGCGACAGTCTGACATATGTACACGACTCCAAGCAGGGTTAGTATAGAAGACGCAGCAGAGAATCAGCAACTCGTGCAAGCAGGGCACAGGATGAGTTCACCCAGAACAAATGAACCTTTCTGCATTTTTTCCATGTATTGAGAGGGAAGAGATCACTCATCCAGTCTGAATGCGCTAGATAAAATTTAAGCCAGTTACAAAGAGTAAGCTAATCGGGTACACTGAAAGACCAGTGCAGAACTAAATAATCTGGTTAATTTCCACTAAAGAAAACTCACAGCAATAAGAATTTACATCACCGCTACCGAAAAAGCTTTAGAGTTTTACTTGCAATTGAAGTATTTAGCAGATGAATTCAAGAGAACAAAAGACACTCATCTACAACCATTAGATTTTCCCTTTACAAAAAAACCGTAAGAAGCCAGAAAAGTCTCTAAGTCACTTTTCTTTGAATCTTCATTGGTTCTCCTTCACTGGATAGCAAAGAAGCAATCTAAAAATCTGGGGATGAAAAGCTTGAAATAATTCTGCTTTCCACAGTATCCAAAGAAGGACTGATGAGATTTGGGAAGAAAAATGTAAACCCTAGTGGCAGATTCCTGGTAAGAAATTTCACAGTACCATGTTTAGAAACAGCATTTCTGCCTTTAAACTGGCAGGTGCAGAAAATAAGCCCAGACAAAACTGTTACATACAGTGCTATTATTCATTGTAACATTACGCACATCAAAGTATACCAAATCCTGAAGTCAAATTCAGAAATTATTATTTCTTGATGTAGCACAAGGAGCATGCAAGGTTGACTCAAGCCACCACAAACAGAATTGGTGGGTCAGAATCAAATTAAATGAAAATAAAACCCTTACAAACAGGATGACAAGAAGTTTCCACCTCATGGTACTAAGTCTCCAGCTGTAAAACAAAGGTTTCTTTCCAAGATGCTAACCGAGCCAACGCATAATAAGGACTTTCATTTTTCTGTGAGAGAGGAAGACACTGAATACATCAGAGCTCATTTTGAGCTGGTATGCAGTGCTCATGTAAATTCTGCTCTACCCTTGCTGGGGGGGATTTGCGTGCAGCGGTCTAAGCTGACAGGTCGAATACAGCAGTCATCAGACGGTATCGGCCCTCCTGATCACATGCAGCTACAGCTACATTTTTAAGCTTTTTTTATGACGCCCACACCCCTTGAAAAGTGTAATCACCGCCTCCTGAATCTCTAAAAAGGATAAGTTTATACTGAAATTATCTCAGGCTTTCTCCTAATGTTGAAGCTGAACGTATGCAGGTGAGGAGACTAGCTGGATTGGGAAAAAAAAAAGCCTTGCCCCTCCGCATGTTCCCGTACCAAAAAACAGCCTACAAAGCCAATACAAACTGTATCTGTACATATGTCCTATAGTAAGAACAGCACTGTAACTCTAATCCCAAATTCAGGGTTTAGAACCATTCAAATAAAACGAACACCTGGAAATGAGTTCCCAATGCTAAGCTACAGCCTTTTGCTCGCAGGCTCGTGGCAATTTCTTTCGCGCCCCCAACCAACAGGAAAGCAAACAGCCCCAGCCCAGACCCACGGCACTGCTGAGCGCCTCGGCTGCACCAGTCCTGCTGCGAGCCCAGAGCCACCCCCGCAGCAGCGGAGCCTGCCTGCAGGCTGGAGCTGCAGGTCGGAGCCTGTCTACACCAGGGCAGCTGGAAACTCGGGGTACCCACGCGCCCACGGCAGCATGCAGGCACACCAAGAGACGGGTTACAGCAGCAAGCTCATTGGGGTCCTGCAAAAGAGCTGCACAAGAGCTCAGGAGGGCAAAACCCGCGGGTAGATGGGTGGGGGGACGCAGCCCTGAGACGATCAGCAGCACTGTCCTATTGCTCTCTATAAAAATGTATGTTTTTCAGCAAATTTGCAAAGCTCAGCTTTCTCAGAAGTTTAAAATGTACAGTAATAAAAGCAGTGTACAGCAATGTTGTATCTGTCTTCTTCGCTTGTATGCTCTGGGAGGACCAATACAACATTTTTTTCTGAGTTGAGCAGTCCTTAACACACTGCTGGAATGCAGGCAGCAAACATGCAAAATTAACTTTTATTTCAACACTTCCAAATACTTTTTATCAACCATGGCACAACTGGTGGTTACTACATTTACATGAATGGAAACAAATATGTGCTACAGTAAACTGATGTTTCTTATAAACTCACATTGCTGACCAGACTTACATTATTTTAAATTCTAATTACCTACGCAGATCAAATGGACTGCAGTAAAAGAATTATGTGGGCTACCTTAGAAGTTAAATTCTAATACTTACAAAGTCCTTTATCAAGAACATATGGAATAATTAAAACTAAGAGAACCCAAGGAGAAATTCCATGTTCCAACAGGAAAACGTATTACCACCATTCTTGCTGATGATTTTTAAGAAATAATTCCCAAGCTCTCAATTTCGAATCTCTGACCCTGGGGCTCCCAGTACTTGACTCCATCTCCTCATTGAGTGCATACAATAATCTTCATTTAAACTCAAACTTCTTAAAGCACAACATCTGAGATAACTCAGTATTTTTTTCTTGCCATTAAAATTCTTTCCAATGTGGTGACTGGAACTGTTTGGCATGAAATATGTATGAACTCTAGTTCCTATCTAATTTAATTAGGAAAACTCTTAATCAGCAACCACAGATATTTCTGTTACCTACAAAACTGTGCACAATGATAGCTGTGCAATGAAACTATCAGCAAAATGTTATCAACAGCCCAAGGGGGTTGCAAGAGGGAAAAAACAAAAAAACCCCAACAAAACCAAACCAAAACAAACAAAAAAAAATCAAACCAAAACCCAACCCACCAATTATGGCCTGACAGTAAGCCTAAAATAATTACAGCGGGACTACAAAGCACTTTGAAGCCATAAAGAGCTCAAAATAGTGAGGGAGGACCAAAACATTTAGATGGACAAAGAAACAGAAGCCTAGATAATATTTTCACTTTAACATGTTTTAGGGGTTTTTTTAATTATTTAGGTCTTGTAATCATTGCAATCAGCATGAAATCCAAGTGTTTTATGAAGTTAGAATATTAAATGCGGGGCAAATCTGGGGCAAAAATGCTTGCCCACCTCAGCTTCCATAGAGTTGCTCACTCTAGGGAGAATAGAATTATGCATTTTAAAAAAAAAAATTAATATTCTATGTCATTAATATGCTATGTAATTTCCTGAGAAAGCAAGAAAGAACCATATTGTGTATTTGGGTTGAGATGTTATAAGCATTTAAAAAAAAATCATGCTTTCAAATTATATGCCTATTTGGTGAATTTGCTTCTTAACATGCAAATAATCCTAATTCCACATCACAGCTGAAATCCAAATCACTTGAGACACCATTAAATTGTAAATTATCCAAATAATTGAAAGAACATGTCAAGGCAATATTCTAAATCTGCAGCCCTAGAACAAGAACCTTCTGAACCCGAAATCCCTTACTGTATTTTGTCATTGGCTTCCCAGGCATCCAATATCCTTTGCACTAGGCAGCATTTCTGGAACAGCTAAAGGAAAAAAAAAAAAAAGAGATAGGAAGAACATTTCAAAAGTTTGCCAAAGTAAGACGCATGCCTTAGGAAGTCTGTACTGAACTATAGTTACTTTTGTTCATTCCTTCAACTCCTACTGAACAAGAACTTAAAGTTCAGCACTTATCTTTCCCAAGAGCTCAAGTTTCTTCTCTCTCAATTTTTTTCTCAGAGGATCCAGGGAAAACAGCAATACCTATAAACGTCTTCAGCCTGTTTTTGGGCTTCACATGAGCAGCAATGAAGAACATTGTTGTCATTTTACAAACACAACAAAAAATTTTCATCATTAGGGCCACAATGCAGACGCTAAAATGCAGTTAGCTAGTTGTAGTTATTATTACTTTTTTTTGTCCAAAGTTTATATGCATCTTTACTAAAAAAATTAAATAAAAATGGATTCACAAGCCCATTAAATGAGATGGGTGGTATGTTTATTTTGTAATTGGATGCTAAAAACAAATGTACAAAAGCAAATACACTTCCATCCAGAACTGACAGAACCAAGTTATATCTCGACACTTTTAAATAAACACCATGCTCTTGAACTGTTCATCATACCATTTTCTTGTTAACGCATATTCAAGCTGAATCAATCAGTCTAAAATTCTCAGGTGACACGACCAGACTTACATGAGTAACCATGATATTCTCGGTATTGTTTTCTGGAGCCTCTAAGTTCTCTGTGGCCACATTTCCATTCAGCACCTCTTCTTTGCTTTCTAGGTCATTAGTAGTAGTTTTTCCCTCTTGCACAGAGTGTGAGAGAATAGCTGCTATGGACAATTCCACTTGGAAATGCAAAAAGTTATTCCATGTGTATTTAAAAAATAAGTCCTGGAACAAAATGAGAAACAAAAGGATTCACTCTAGATACATCTTCCCATTCTTAACTACCGAATGATATTAGGACACTGCTCAGCCAGTCGTTTAATCAGCAACTAGTTGTTACTTATATGCCTCAGTATCCACTTAGAGTTGAATGTGCTCTGTTTGCTCTGGTGTAATGTATACTTTCTTATAAACTTTGCATTGGAAATACTGTTGCACACAGCTAGGGCTCACAGCACAGACATACTAAGAAAAAATGTCATCTATTCTGTGGCTGAATTAATCATAAGATAAATATTAACTAAATAATTTCTAAGTATAAAAATAATTTTCTGAAAGACTGTCCTGGTTATATTGGCAGCTTTCAGAACACGTCCCTGTTCACATCTAGACAAAAAGATCAGCTGTCAGTATTATGAGAGCTGATACACACAACATATCCAAGCTTTCTCAATAATCAGACTATTTTGCATACACACTACTAAACTACTATAACAATAAATTTGAAGCATGAGGTTCAGTTCAAAATACTAAGCAACTGTATTTGTATTACAAAAGCTATTCTGAGGATGGATGTTCCTACTTTCAGCAGATTAGAAAAAGAATTAGACACTGGCACACATGCAACAAACTATCTTGCACTGAACAGATGAAAGGGAAAGCAAAAATGTTCCCAGTTTACAGTTATTCTCCCTCTCCCCATTCACAGTGTCACACTATATTACTCACAAGTAATAAATTCATGGTACTGAGTCTGCATAGTTCCTGATTAATACTGGGAGTGTTTGTGTGAAGCAGAGCAGCTATTAGACGAGATCCATGAAGACGAGCATTCCCCAGTGGCTCCTCCAAGACACCAATTGTAGTTAGGATTGCTGTTTTCTATCAGAGAAACAGAGAATGAGTACCTCAACAAAGATCAGCATTTCCTTGGGTGTATATGCACAATAATTTGACTAAACATAACTAGTTCATTTCATAAATATTCTCTGCAGGTAAACCTAAACCATCTTCCCACACAGAGGACAGCGTCATGGTGACCACTGTAAGACTTTTACTTCCAAAACGGCAGATTAAAATAAAAATATCCACTAACTAGAAGTTCCTTTCTCTTCACCCCGTCACCATCTTTACACAAGCCACCAGTCCCAACATATCTCTACTTCTTGGTTTTACTCAAATACAATGGCTTTCAAAATTCCCACTGCCTAGTCCCTAAGCATCTGAATTATAAACTTTAAGCATGAATTCTTCTTCAAAAGACGCTTGCCTGTTCCAGCATATGGCGCTTTCAGAAAATATCCAGGAAGCCTGTATATAAGGAAAGGGAAACCCTGAAATGCAGGTCAGGAGCCATTTGCTCCTGAGAGAGGCTGAGATGCTTTACCTTGGGAGGGCTGAGCAGCAGCTGGTGGAAATCCTTTAGCCTTGGTTCAATACCATGTAAGATGCTGCTATTGACAGTGTAAGACCTTTCAAATCCCTGAGTGTATGAGTCCATCAGTCCTTCCACTCTGTAAAGAAGAAAAGCACAACAGTTAACATCTGACAAAATCTTAAAATGGTCTCCAGTCACGCTGTGCATGTGGGTCATTTTCTCTTGAAAAGTAATTATGAATATGAAAAATAATAATTTCCAGCTACTGAATATATTTTACATAACTACGCTATATTAGTATATCATTTACAAGATGATATTCACATAATCAAAACTGTGAATGAGATGAGTGGAAAGACAGACAATAAGCTGTCTGCAGAGCTGACAAAGACAAATTACTGAAGTGCTTCCTGGTTTTTAAAACTTTCCAAAAATTTGAAAAGTAAATTACATCAGCAAGAGTTAACTATAAACATTTGTTAAAAACTGTAAACCTTCCACAAGTGTTCAAAAAGAAGTACATAAATACACTAACTGATGAAAACCTTGAACAGTCATGTAGCTGTGCTCGTAATTGTACCTCTTTACTGGCAAGCAGTGAATTACAACTATTACTAGCCCCTTCCAGCAGCAAAGTCTCACAAAGGAATAAAAGAAACGCTAATGAAATCTAATTCCAGCAAGGCAGGAATGGGCTAGATAGGAACCCCTAAGCCTCCAACTCATAACTCTTCAGAGTTCCTGAGCACCAGAGAGAGTAGAATTAATATCTCAACTTTTCTGTTTTAACTCTGCACATGACTTTCTGACTAGCAACTTGTTTGCCCACTGCCATCTTCTGTCCTTCTCTCCAGTACTTTTTCCTGATCTTCCATTATCTCCTTCAGTCTTCCTTATTTTCTCCTTTTTTAGAAATCGAGATTTTCAATGTCTCACTCCCTCCCCAGAACTCTCTTTTGCCTTTTCTCTCCTCTATCTCCATAAAAAGAAATAAAAGGGGGATATAATTTAAAAAACAAAATTAAAACTATACAGCCATAAATAGGTATATACATCATCACACAGATTATGCATGATGTACCATTTCCTCCTCCACTCTGCATACATTCTGCTGTAAGATCTCTGCTATTACAGACAAGACTTTGCTATACACGCGCAAGAGAACTAGAAGAGCCCACAGAAGGGCCCAGTTGCCAACCGGTACAACTGCCATGAGGTACAGCTACTGCATCAAAAAAACCAAACTGCTTTTCTTGTACTCATTTCTAGACAGCACTTCACACTAGGCCAAAAAAATTCCTTTTTTGCTTAAGTAAAACTAGACGGGAGTTCCTAAAATTGCTCTTGCTAGGGAAGGAAGTGCTAACTTACCCAGAGCGCCTTGTTTCCAGCAATGTTAGAAGAACTTGTGTCCCATTCACTATGCAATTTTCAGTCTGTTCTCCATCAAACATATTCTTCAGGAGTTGCTCCACACATTCCTGCCTGTTGATCAACACACATACACATAAGCGGTATAAGAATTAGAAATATTTGGCAGTTGCTTTAATCACAAAAAAAATCCACTTCTGGGTTTTCTGGGGAAAAAAGTCTGCAATTTTTTTTTTTTTTTTTTTTTTTTTTTTTTTTTTGGAGAAAGAATAAAGACATTCCTCTCTAAGTCTCCTATGACAAGAATGGTTCTACACCAGGTTTCTGAACTTGCTTACTCACCACCAAGGAAAGACCTGGTTATAAACACCTAGACTCCAAACCAAATCGTCATTCTCCCTTATCAACAGGGTATACCTCTTAGTTATAAACTGGAAGACAACTGAAGTGTTAACTCAGTCAATTTAATTTATTAAAGACAGTATGTAGCTATCAGCTGATAGTCTAAAATTATCCATCAGAATCGCAGAAGAAAGACAACAAACAGTGGAAGTTGACCTTTATCATTTGCTACTGGCAGAAGATGATCCAGGACCTCGAAACAGAGGCCAACAAATGCAAACTGTAAATAATATGCACACTTTTAGTAGTCTTAGCTATTAGCCCCTTGAAATACTTTAATTAATTCACCATCTCTTTGAGCTCTTAAACCAAGATAAGATGCCTCCCAAATACTGACAGATTTGGGGCCAGGTGGACAGATCACCAAGTAAAGTGTTGAAGGCTGGCTGGAGTCAGAATGAATAATGACTATGGTCCTTTCTAGCATTAAAAATTATTTTGACACTCAAGCATGGCCTTAGAATTGAAGAATAATTAGCACAAAGGTAAGAGCCCACTTTTCTCTCTACTATTTGCCACGCTAAACGAGTAATAGATATGAGGCATACGAGGTTCAGGCTGGCAGTGTTACTCGTCTACAGTTACTTGACTGCAGCAGTGCCGGCTTCCACCTCTGCATTCAGATTCTTTCCCCATGCTAGTTCTGCAGATGTTAATGACAGTTCTCCAAAATCCAGTACTCAGCAAGTGCCTTTCTTGACTTGCCAAGTCACATGTCCAGCTAAAAACAGTATTACTCAAGTTCACAGTCTAATTTTTACTATTTTCTAACATTCAAAAAAATCTCATTTACATTTGTATAAATAAAATGAGATAAAAATGTAAAATACATGAATAATGCATGACAGAATTATTTTAATAAGTAGCATCTAAATACACTCCATCAGCACAAGCACAAGAGGCAGAGTCAGGAAAATGAAGCAACAGTTTACTATGATTAACTGAATTCACTTTTATTGCATACAGCCAGCAGTTATTGAAAATCTAGATTTGATATTTATTCCGTAACCCTGATCACGGCTCTCTCTTGCTGTACTAGCTGATCATTAATTCATGATTCATAGATAAAAAAAGTTATCCAAAGATCAAAAAAGGTTACCAGCAATGCTCGGAAAAATTGGCCAAGAACAGTAATGAGATATGTGACCTTCAGCAGAAAGGTAAATTGTGCAAAAAATCACTTTTGTTCAAAATATTTTTTCTTCTAAACAGTGAAGTGGTATAGTGACTTTTACAAATGCTTTTTCAAAGTGCAAAACCATTTTTATTTATCTTATGGAAATTACAGGTAGTGCTTGAAAACGGGCAAAGTGCATACACAGAGAACACCAGGGAAGCGAGGGTGACTGGGAGGGAGAGCGAAGGGAGAGGGGGAAGAAGCTAAAGACCATCTGAGTAAAGTATGAGCAAAACTTCAAATTCCAGCTTTGTACAATTCCTTGTATAATCAAGGAAACTTGCTTAAATTCTACCACTGGTGTCACAGAGGCTCTCGCGAAAGACCACGGGCAGCAATCTGCCCCCCACACAGCAGGGCTCCACATCCCTCTCCGAAACTACTGAGAAAGTCTAAAACTACCGAGAAAGTCTAAAAGTACCAAAAAAGTCTAAAAGTACTATGTTCTCCAAGGCCCACGTTACCTCCCACCACAGCGAACCATGACTCTTATTAAAGATCCTGGGCTTTCCAGGTGAAATGACCAAGGTGGAGGCTCATCTCCAAGCTTTAAAGGACTCAAAATTGATACAGACTTGGTGAGATGCTGAAGGCTCCACAACCAGGGATGCAATCCGCACTGAAAATCCAACATCGTGCTAGTTGGTAAGAAAATACCATGGCAGGGCATGGGACAAAAGGCCAGATCTGCCTTATTTCTGCAGGCGCAGTAAAGGAAACGAAGCATTTAAGAACGAGCATTTCCTTGCAGGGGCAGTTACATGTCAAGCCCGTGGAAGATCCTGAGCACATCTGCAGAGACGGCGGCTTTTCAGTGCTCGTGTCAGCACGATTCACGCCCTGTTTTCACCTACACACATCGGCTCCTGTCCAACAGGTCCCCCTGACATTCGTGTATGAACTGACAGCTCAGAATCAGGAGAAAATAACAGCAATGCCACAGAAATTAAGAAAGCTCTGGGTCAACAGAAACATGTAAAAGAGGAATTTTAAGCCCTAGTTATAGATGCTGTATTATTCATTGCACATCTCTCGTTTTGTCCCTTTTCTGTCAAAACGGTGCCTTTAGGCCTAAAAGAGCCTTTTTTGGTTTTAATCTCACGTTGAATCTCCAGTACATGTTTTTAGGTTTGAAGCAAATATAGGAAACAGTAAACATGCTGACATGAGTAATTTAAAACTACATTATAAAGAGCAAAGAAACAATGCCAAGGGAATAGACTAAACTTGAAAAATCAACATTTTCTGGTACACAACTCATTCTTAACATTATTTGAGAAATAACTCCTAATAAAAATACTCTTTGAAAGTGCAAGTTTCTTGTCAATATATTCCCTCAGTAATATTAGAGAAGTTAGCTCTGGATTTAAAAAAAAAAAAAAAAAACCTCAAACAACAAAAAACAAATGCAAAAAATTCTTCCAAGTTTTACTGCAAGTTGTCTGGACGCACAACCGCAGGTTCTGAAAAGAAGTGCTGAGCACTGCTAGCTGGGATCACAAGCATCCTTACATCTTTTTTTCAAGAGAACACCTTCTATCAAATGTAACTTAAAAAACCTGAAATACTACAAATGCTTCTTTTGCCGACTATATCACTAGATTTCATCTTTAGAACAACACAATGCACCCCAACAGTTTCCAAATGATGGCATTCAGTAGATTCCGCCCCCCCAATTATTTTAGTGACAGACTACCTTCAAGTAAGTTATACAAATCATCTGCAAACATGACAAAACACTTAGGAACCAAAACAGCTTTTCTGCTTTTCCAGCCAAACTACCTAGAGGGCTAATAAAAGACAATAATACCTCTATTTACAAATCTTGTCTGCAACATTTATCAACCAGAAGGTAGAAAATGATTAAACCAATTAATTATCTGTGTTGTGACATGTCATCTCTAATTAAAGCATTGCACAATGTTTCTGAGACGTGATGAGAGCTCATGATGGTCGCAGGTGACAGGACTTTGAGGAAAAAGAAGTAGCTGATACTAACTCTAATGTATTAAGGGATCCACAGGGACGGTATAGAGAGAGAGGTCTGAATTGTCACCGTCTAGCCCTAACGCCACCAATAAATGGAATGACTTCTTGAATGATGAGGGAGGGCTAGAGAGGCATTTGAAGTGTGTGGGCTTACTTCTTTCAGGGCTCAACCAAATTTGGAGAATAAAAACAGGGAGATTAATGATTTGGTCTAAGTTCACAGGCAGGCAGACAATCTTTGGTGAGATGTATCAGGCAGTATCTCAGCATCACCTTAGCTCTGTGGAAGTGCATGCAACCCAAGGTTCATATTAAGTTAAGAAATCTACAACTGATATTTGACTCAGGAGCCAAAAATAGCATGCCAGAGGACACTCAGAGTGTGTAAGGAGACTTCAGCAAAGGTTGAAAGGCAAGGTGATAACGCCCCGTACAAAGTGCATGGTGACATACAAGCTACTATGGTGAGAGAACTCCTTCTGTTGTCACAGCATTTTCTTCCCCATTTTGAAGAACAGCAACTTGGTGATCTGAAATCCGTCTATATGGTGCAACATGTTTACCAGCGGGGAATAAGAGCCACTGATTGGCCAAGTATGACTGAAGCCTTGCACCTAAAGCCACACTTGGCATCAAGGAACACCGTCAACATGGGAATTTTAGGATTGGTCTTTGTGGGATCTCCCTCAACTATTGCTGTTGCAGTTCACCTTTCTCTGAATTCACTATGAGCGTTTTAACATGCTCAGGAGTATTGCCTCTTGAATTAGATCGTGAGCTTTGGGGATCATTAACCCTGATCTCCTGCCTCCAGACAGAGCTACAAAACCCAAAAATCTCAACAGAGGCAGTTAAGTGATGCTGCATTTTAAAAGTAGTATTAAATGGTTGGCCCAAATGTCAAGAGCTAAGCAAAGGTTTGACATGCATAGTTCGTGTCTCTAGAGAGCTATCAGTAAGTGACAATATTAGTAGCAATTAGTTTAGCAACTGTCCCCTGACAAGTACTTACGATTCCAGTGCTGTGAGAAGTGGATCAGGCTCAGGTATATCCTGGAGTTGATTGCTCTGGTCTCTGCTCAATCTTATGATATCACACAGGGTCTGGGAAGCATTTGATTGCCTCTGTAAACAACGACATAGAGCACATTTCAGTGCTAACATCTCAACTTGGCTCATTCTGGCTGTCAGAGAAAATTTAACATAGCTGGGAATGCAAGAAACTGAATAAATCAATTTTTCAGAACAAGTGCTACCATTCTCTAGATTATTCATCTGTTAAATATAAGGTTGATGTGAATTATTACAAGCATTAACAGATTTTAAAATCAAAGAGGAGGTCTTCCTGAACTTAACAATTAAATGCAGTTAAAGATTTCAGAAAGTGAGGATTCTTTTTTTATCTTCCTGACCAAGTGTGTTAACTTGCAAATTTCAAATACAAGTACTTCATTCTTACTTCTCACTACTCAGGAGGTTTCCTGCATGAAGAAAAATAAATGGCTTGATAAAACCCTTTACAATTTAATTACTATGTATTAAAAGACTTTAAAGTAGTATTTTGATAAATTAATCGTCTCATTCTGGCTATCAATCAAAGACTCTCTGTTGCTACTTTATGTGTAAGATCTTATGCCTTAATTTATCATTCACCCATAAGATAGCACTGCTGAAGGCATACGAATCAGCATATTACTTCCCGTTTTTTCTCTCAGAAAGGGCAATTTTTGCTGTGATGAGATGAGGGAATCGTATTGTCAGCATTAACACTACACCAAAAGAATCCAGTTCGCTTTGCTGCTGGAACTCGCAGGAATCTGTTAACGAGTGCCCCCATCCCCATCTAAGTCAAAGCAGGGCAGCTAGAGATCAACACGCTGCTTGTGTTTCTCCTGCTCAGCATCAGGGATGGCAGTCAACACCCAAATGTGAAACGATAGTGTAGGAAACTGAAATCCAGACCTAGAGCTCCTGGCTCAGATGTTTTGTGAAAATTACTGAAAGAAAAAAAAGGGGGGCGGGGGAGGGGAAGAGCACACTCATAAAATTTAATACTCAGCATGTCTTTTTCACGGGCTTAGAGAACTGGACATTGTAGATTTTATAAATGAGTTCCTACTCACTTATGGTCTAGAAAGAATTGAAAGTTACAGCGAACTGGTTAATTTTAAAAGTCTTTCAACAGCTTGTTTCAAATAGCAGGTTCCTACTTAAAACCAAGTAAGTTACCACTGACTGTAGATATTGAGACGAACTGATGCAACAGCAGAATGAACTAAGAAATTGGTAAGTCAGTCAAAACCAGACAAAAAATACAACAAAACATTTTGGTATTGAGCTTGGCAACCAAAGGACAGGATGTCCATCCATACAGGTTATCACCCTCCATAAGTCACCCAGGCATTATCGAAGACACAGATTCTTCTGGACCTTACAGAACCCCCTACCCACAAAGACAAAACTTAGTCTGGTCATACTCACATCCTCATCCTGGCTTGAATGGATCAGTTCCACAAGTCTCTGAATGATCTTTGCTTCATTAAGCCACTGGAGGGAAAGGAAGGGGAAAAGAAAATCCTTGTTTGATATCACAGAATTCAAAACAAGAGGATCTTCATGAAGCTTTGCATAACACAGGCTTCTCACGAAGGGAAAGCCCTTTCCTTCTATTTCATGATCAAAGCCACAGGCAGTATACCAACTCCTCTAGTTACAGACAGAGATGCATTTTAATTTGCATCAGTATGTACACCCTGTCTATGGAACTAAAAACCTAAATACCTTTGGAAAACACGGAATAGATCAGTCATAAACACTATCTCATCTGAAGAAGCATTAGCATAATTATCAACATGTTTTTCTCCTACCATTTCCTATTCTTACAGTCTTGCCACTGTTTACACTAAATAATTTCTCAGACTTCGAGATGATGTAACAATGCTGTTATTATACTCGTCTCCTTGCTCTATGCCAACTTCCTTTTCCTAGTGCAAGCTATCACTTTATCTCCCTTTCCTGACCGCATGCAAACCAAGTACGCCATCTGCAAATTATACCTTCCAGTTTCCCCCTTCTCAGCTTCATCTGCAAGCTCAACATCTCATTTCCACCCATCCATTTTCACTCAAATTTCTATGGTCTTCATTCCAGGCAAACTGCTAGATGTCTAACATTAATCAAACTAATCAGTCAAATCAGTCAAACTAATGCATTCTCAGTTGCTTTTGAAATAATTGACCAAACATTAATTAAAAGCAAAAAGACTTTGGAGGTTTCTGCAATGATATGATCTTCCATCACTCTTCAGATGAGTCATGGAGAAAATGAACAGTCTCCTGCCTTCCACTTCTTTATAAGAAGGCTCTATGCGTATCTTCTCCCCTTGAACACTCATTTTTATGTTATCTATTCACATGACTTCAACTATAATCCTTACGTTGACTCTTTACCAGCTTTGCCGTAATAACCTTCCTACAGATCTCGTCCTGTCCTCTGCGATTCCATGTTGAGTTTGATGTATGTCTGACTTAAAACAAAAAATTCCAGATCACCATTTTTAGTGACTTTTCCCATGAATAACACTGCTGTTTTCCTAAGTCTGAAATATCTGACTTTGTCTCCTTTCTGGTGTCCCTTATTATTGCAAAAATACTAATGTTGTCCAAAAATCTACCCAGCATACAGCTACGAAACCAAGTATTTCATTCAAGACCGTATTTTCAGATCTGGTTTCTGTAATTTCTTCTTCCCGACATCCAGCTCACCCACAAGTTAAAAAAACTGGGTTCTTAAGACATTTTTCCTCACCAGTCTCTCTACCAACCCATCTCTTCAGATTCTTCCACTGGTTTCTAGTTTCTCAGCATCAAAATTAAACTCCTGAACCTTCTTCTCAAGACCATCACAGTGGAATTGATCCCTGCTCTGTCTTAATACATCAGTCTTGCCATCTTCATTCCACTAACAAAGCAACTGTCCACTCCCTCTTTGTTCCTTTAGTCTACAAGCATCTTTTCTCATCTCCCTGTGCTCGGATATGACTACTGAAATCCTTCTTTCAAACCCTAAGACTCAGCCTTCTGATGACAGCTCAGGTAGCTGTCAATTATTCAATTTACTAAAACAGCTTCCTCAAGATTAATGAAATCCTCCTCATTTATATCTTCTAAAAAACAGCGGCTCAAATCTATCAATTATGCCTACTGGCAGCCTCTGTAACAATAAAATTACCCATCTCTCCTCTCCCTTTCTTTGTGCTATATTTGCATGTTTCATTTTGCATCATCAGTTACACACACCCGACGTTTGCACAGCACCACGATTACGAGCCCACATTTTGGCTGCAATCTCTGGGTATTTCCACAGTATTAACACATTGCACAACTTCAATTAAAAAAAAAAAACAACTTATCAATTTTTACCTGCAAGTTTCCTTTCTTCAAATAATAAGCTCCATAGAGATGGTACTGTGGGTATTTCAGCCTGTTTGTTGCTTTGTGCAGAACCTGCCTGCCAATCTGTGTCAGCAGACGAGTATTTACCTATCGACATTCCATCTACCCTTAAGACTTCCACAGCCCAGAAGAAAACTACTTATTAACACTCCCGCATCAAATATATTTTCTTTCCCTTGCAGAGCACAGTAAGTTAAATCCAGCCCTCCACTGTAGTTTCAACTTCACTCTGTATCAACATCCTCCCCCAAGCCCCACATCGGTTGAGCCTATGGGCCTTATTAATTAAAAATGGGAGTTACACAGTAAGCCAGGATAAGAAGGTTTGCTCTTTTTGCCTGGTCTGCCATAATAATGGGCTCTGGGGGGAGTTGGATGGTCACAGAGAGAAGTACTGAAGGGAGAGAAGCATGATCGTTCATCTGAACAAAGGAATTGCTGTTCCTGGGAACTGAGGGAACTGAGGGACACAGAAAATGACATTTAGAAGAAAAAAAACCAACTGAAATAATCTGTTAAGATCAGAAGAGCAATACCAAAATTTGGGGAATTAAGAAGCACCTAGTAAACCTGGAAGAGATCAATTCCTCTGTCTGGAGGCTGTTGTTGAAGAGATGGACTTTGACATTCACAAGAAAAGGAATAGTCTGTAATTGACTCCTCAAACTAACTTACCTACCTGGACTAAAGTACAACAGCGTTACCCTCAGCATCTCCCTTAAAAGAGTCACACCTGAAACACAAACTCTTCTGACCACATGCAACTCAGCAGCGTGTTTACTCTCACTGATAAATGACACACTTGTAAGGAATTCACGGACAGAAAACTTGCACATATGTGCAACCTGAATTATTCTACAGGAAGACTGCAAGACGCAGGGCCAGCAAGCAGGAGGCAGTTGATGTAACAGTTGTTTGTTGTCTGCGAACAAACCAGGCTCCTGTTTGCTGCCTCCTGATTAGGGAGCGTTGGGCTTCTGCCCAACTGCTGCTGGGGAGCACCTGTATCACGTATGCTCAGGCACCTTAGAACAAGTGGGACGTGGCAAACTGGTCCAGGCAAACTGGGACTCGGCAGGTAATGAGGCAGTGGGCATGGGAGGGGGTGTGGAGGTGCTGCTCGAGGCTGCATGGGACTGCCAGAACAGTGTAACCTCAGTGGTGACATGCAAGAGGGCACAGTCTCCACCTCCAGCTGGGGCAACTAAATCTGGCACATAGGAGGCCTCAACCCATGTGGAGCTCCTGAGAGAGGGCACGGTCAACCAGGTCCCAGGCTGCAGGGAGTGCCTGGTGCTTCTCCTTTGTGGACAAAATGGTCCTCACCCACAGCAGATGCACTCTCATAAAGGCGCTGTGCTGCCAGGTGATGGGAGTTATGGGCGGAGGTGAGAAGACAATGTAATATTATATTCTGCATGGACAGAATTTCAACAGGGTTTTTTTTTGCAGAGACCATGGAAACAGTCAGGGTTTTCTGGACCCTAATTTTTCATGGAAGAAGGAATAGCCAGAGACTACACAGGAATTAGAGGATGGAGACTCCCAAGGCAGGAGTGGCTGGAAGCTGACAACATGAGAAAAGCTCTTTCACCACCAGGAGATGTGCACTTACAGAATAGGCATAATGGCTTGGCAGTAACAGGCGAGGAGGAACAGGTTTCCTCAAGGCAGGCGTCAGAGCCACCTGAACCTGAAACTCGCGCCAACGAAAGAGGCGGCGGCAGATGAGCGTGACTGGAGACTCCCCTCTGCAGGGAACGAAGAACCCACTCACCAGCCAGATTTGCTGTTTCGACAAACGTGCTGCTTGCCAGCAGCTCTGACTCCCCCAGTGTGCGGGGAGACTGCCAAGGCTCAGCCAGCCCTTGGACAACCACTCCTTCCTCCTGACGGTGTGTGTGCACCGATACCACTGCCAAAGGACAGCTCTGGAGTATCACGAGTAACTACAGAGCCCTGCTGGGGTGAAGCCCTGGAGAAGTCCCTGTGCTGCCCGTCACATCCTTTGCCGGGTTCAACTCTGGCTGAGCTTTGGCTTTCCTAACAACATCCCTGCCTGCTCGGGCAGCCTCTCACTGCCGCTCCTGGCTGCTCCAACCCTGCTGCACCATCTCAGCACTGTCTGTGTGTGCCTGAGCTCAGGCAGGAGTACCCTGCTCACCCATGCGGACCTTTTCCCACACCTGCTTGACTTTCTGCACACCGGGATGGACTGTTTTGCTTAAGTACTAACTCTTCTCTTTCTCTGCGATGACTTCGCTCCCACATAACCTGCTACTAGGCTCAAGGACCAGGTTTGGCCTAACAGCAGACATTACCAGTAAAAAACCGAGTCAATACTGGCGACCAGTACTGCTAAGTGTTTTCATTAAAGACTTGGAAAATGGGAAAAAACGCACCCGTAACAAGTTTGTGAACGATACCCACATCGGGGGCCAGCAGCTGATATGCAGGAGGGGAGGAACCTAGACATGCTGGAGAAATGGCCTGGGAAGAACCTCAGAAGTTCAAAAAAGGCAAGATGCAAAGTTCTGCAGGGGGGATGGAACAACCCCACACAGCAGGATGGGGTGGGAGTCAATCAGCCAGGAACAGCTCGCAGAAGAGGCCAAGAGGGCCCTTAGTGGTCCTATTACAGCAGGAGCCAGCGTTCTGCCTCTGCAGCAAAGAAGGCCCAGGCACATCCCAGGCCATGACGGCCCAAGGCAGCCAGCAGCATGAGAGCAGGGCTTGCTCCTCTCCATTCAGCACCAGTGAGACCCATCAGTATACTGGGGCCAGGCTGGGGCTCACCAGCACGGGACAGACACTGCAATAATGCAGCAGACCCTGTGGTGGCCACTGAGATGATTGGGGCTGGAGCACAGGAGGTCAGAGTGGAGGCTGAGAGGGGTTTGCTGAGCCTGGAGAGGAGAAGGCAAAGGGGAGACCCTGCTGCGGTCTGTGACTGCTTAGTGGGGTGGGGAGAGACGATGGAGCCAGGATGCTCTGGGAGGTGCCATGATGGGATGAGAAGTACAAGATGCAACAAGGGAAATTCCAACCGGATATTAGGAAAAAAAATCTCCACTTGAGGGTGATCAAATGCTG